ATGAAATTACCTAAGGGTCTTTTGTGTTCCTTCTTTGTAGATGCTATTAACATTCTAAAGGAAATGAAAGAGAAGGATGTTCTTATCAAAGATGCAACAGTCTTGTCCTTTTTTCACATCCTAAATGGCGCAGCTTTAAGAGGTGAAACTGAAACAGTAAAACAGTTGCATGAAGCCATCGTGACTCTGGGGTTAACGAAACCATCTACTACCATAAGTTCCCCATTGGTCACTCTTTATCTGGAAAAGTAAGTTAATTGAATTTAAAATTTTAAATGTTGGCATTAAAAGAATGAGTCTAATCATTTGGGGATTATAGTTTGTAAATACTGTGTGGTGCTGTGAAAGCTTTGAAGGTTGCCGAGAATAAGAGGACTCATATGGACTAGGTGACCTTTAAAATCAGCAGCATCCCTGTGGTCCTGTGGATTACTTCTCAATGGGATGGTGTATGGTGATTTTTGGGGGACATGTGGTGATACTACATGACATCGAATCTAGCTTATTCCCAGTTTTGAGCCTTATAAGTGTTAATTATTAATAAGTATAACAAAGAAGGATTCCCTGGGGCTTTTGATCATGACTGTTACTCAGGTAACAGAGTAATAGCATCTCTTCAGTGCTCATTTTCTCCAGATGGTATTTTATTTTAATTGCATGTACCAATACAGTTTTTCTAGCTTTGGTAAACATTGTAGATCATGTCTCTGTGCCTTGTGTGAAGAAGATGAATTTTGTTGATGGGGCAAGATTTACTCAGTTCAAAATTCTTACATTTCAAATGCTCGTATTGGTGCCCAGTTTAAGGTATCATTTGCAATGCAAATCAAAATCATCCCGCTCTCTTTTAATGAGTAAAACATTTTTGTAAGTTGATTAAGCACCCTTTATTATCTTCTTTTCCTTTTGCTTTTTTTTCTTTTTTAATTTCCTAGATCATCTTTGTCATCTTTTCTGTGGCTTAATGCAGTTTTTAATCTGCTTATTTCGCTATTGGGGTTTTCTGATTTTAGTATGGATGTTCTATCAATGCCAGGAGAAAAATAAAAGATATATTTTAATGATTCTCATAATTTCCCCAAATTTCTGATAGTTTTTCATTATTAGGGGTTATAATTAATTGAATATAATGAATGGTTTATCATTGAATTTAAAATGTAGAATGGAAAACATTTCTTTTAACTAGTTGTATGTTAGGAAATGTGTGTATAAATATACATGCATACATATGTACATGCACATATTTTATGAAATATTTCCTTTGTCATCCAATCAAAAAACAATTTATCAGGTTAGAATATTGGCCAAATCTTAACCTCCACAGTCTCAGCATTATATCCTTTTAAAGAAATAGTGATTCAAACAATTACTGTTATTGCGTGTTCATGTTCACAATCAATGTTATATAGAAATCCTATAATTAATATGTTTCCTACTAGAATTTTTCGACTGTTTAAAAGACCCATCTCTGCAAATTGCATGTGGAACTCTGCATAGGGATTTGAAAAAATGGGCCCAGTGCCCAGAAGAATTAGGCCCTCCTCCACTACTGGGCAAAAATAAAATAATTAATAGTGAAAATGAGGCCCTGCTAGAAAAGTATCTTACAAGTAGAAATACTTTGAAGACAGAAGAGACACTGAAGGTTTCCAAAAGAGGTCTGCAGATGGGGCTCATGAACCAAGGAGAGCTTACCCAAGGGAACATAGAAATAAATAGCGTGGGCTTTAGATGTTACCCTGGAGTGTCCCCTGTGCTTTTGGTTGTACAGTACAGTCAGAGGTTTGTATGTCTAAGTAAAATTTGACTGTCCTTGTTAATTAAGCTAGAGAAATCTAAATTAGCATCTTTTGTGAATTCTCACCAGTTTCAGATACATAGAGAAATAATTACCTTTTCTTTTTATTTGCCTAGGTCTTTTTTCACTATCCTTGTTTTGCAGAGTCAGTCTCCATGACAAGATCTTTCAGTTTCATCTATCATAATAAAAAGGTTCTGTTACCTGTTTTAGAGTCATGAGAATAATAAAAAGGAGACAAAGGAAATTTCACATTTAAAAAATTGGAGAAAACAGTAATAGCACTGCTAGTCGGGGATAAGTTGAAAGAAAAAATTGACTTTAAAACTTTTTTCCAGTTGTGTTTTCCCCAACTGATGGAAGATAATTTATTCAGTCGTGACAAGTGCAGTACTAGGATTAACTACATTAGCCTGCCAAAAAATCCATATGTATTTGATTTGATTAAATAAGTTTAATATTCACTAATATCATGTAATTGACCTCAGCAGGTATGAGCTCATCAGTAGGATGAGCCTTATTTATTCAAATTTGAGATAAAATTATGAAAACCATTTCAGAACATCATACAAAATCTTCATCTTTTCATTCAAAGGCAAGCATCTTTTTGTAATGTCTTTGCAAAGACTAAAGAGGCCAACACTTAACATGTTGTAATTCTGGAGCAAATTCCTGAGGTTGAGCCCCTTAGAAAGATGATCTTTAAGATTTAGTAGATTTTAATTTTTGAGCTGACTTTCCCAGTATTAGATAAAACACAGGAGAAATTAACATTATGTCATTTTATTACTTGGATAATGTATAAAAAGCTTTATAGATATAGAAAATATATTTTGTTTTTATTTTTTGCCAAAACAACAGGTTTACCAAATTATAAACAAATTGGTAAACTAATCTGCTTTTGTATTATTAAAATGATGATACTTGCATTAAACAGAAAAATATGCAGTTGAACAAAATTTTCATGTGTTCCATTTTCATTAGTATTATTTTATAAGCCATTTGTCTACATGTAGTCTAAATGAATGTTATTTTAAACATTGTTTTGTAACTACTTAAAATTTTTTTTTTTTTAATTAAAATCATGCCTGATTCTGGAAAATGACCAGATGCTCCATATTAAGGAAAAAAGACATGCTTTAAATGGTTAAAAGAGCTTTTATGCTGTGGTAAAAGAAATGAAATTAATAAAATCTGGGCCATTTAGTTGAAAGGCATAAGAATTTGTATGATGCAGCTTCAGAATCACTTGTTTTATAGCAGATCTATTTTGGTTTCATCACATATGAAAAATATCTCAAGCTGTTTAACTGGATTATTTAGTACAATTGATCAAAGAAGCTTTAATTTTTGCTTTCCATTAAGGATTTTTCAGTGCTGATTTGTGCTATAATCTGTATGTGCCCATATGCATTTCATTTAAGTGAATTATAGACTTTATATAATCCTCCCAGAACTCTTGCTAAGTTAATCTTGAGTTCTTCCTAAAACTCATAATTTCTGTAAGAGGAACCTATAACAATATAAGTTTTAAAACTCACTGTTACACTTTAATGTTACATAAATGGGAAATATACTTTATTAAATGCTGGTTATTCTGTCATATACACTCCCCTTCAATTTTAGCGTCTTCATTTGTACTGGATACTTTTATTATTTATGGGAATGCTTGCCTTCTAGAGTAAAACTCTTTATGTGCTGAAAGGAAATTAGGAGGTTTGGCTCTTTTACTCCATTATTGCAATTAAGAATTTAGCATCATCAGTGCCAAAGGACAAAAGTGGTTCATTTGCCCTAGGGGGACAGGACAGTGATAAGATGATTTTTCGTCAAGGATCATTGGGTCGTAATTAAGTTACATTCATGGCTATTGCTTTTTGAAGGATGATTGGTAAATGACAGGCTTCATGTGCTTAGTGCGGACAGTGTTCAGTAGGGTTTTTTCTCCCTCTGTCAGAAAATCCTGTTGAGCCTGATAATGTAAATGTGGCATTTTATTCTGAACAAAAGAGCAGGGAAATGAGCTATCTTGTCTAATCATTCAGTTGTTTAACACCGACTTCCAGTTTAGACTCAATTGGCTGGAAAGCACTTGACATGTGAAGTTAGTGCTATTCCGAACGCATGTTTGAGTAAATTTTAAAGTAAGTGACAGCTAAATTGTACCTAGGGAAATTACAAAGCCTTCAACACAGTTAATTTTTTGGGGAGGATTAGTTGTAATTGCAACACCAGTCTCCTTGAAGATTCTTCATTTATAGATGATGAACAGAAAAAAAAACATTTAGCTCTTTCAAGGGCTGGTTCTCTTAACAGAATAATTTTTGTGAAGACGATGGTTTCTCCTGAATTGATTTTTCTCCATACTAAACATCTGCCTAAGATTTACAGAATAGTTTGATTTTAGAGTGTTGAAACATTTTTTCCCCTCTTGTTTTAAACTTTTTTCCTCCCCTAAAGCCCCTCTTTTCTCTAGTGATTTCAGATTTTGAGAGCTTTTCAGTCAATAAGTCATTTAGGTGAATTGGCACTTCTCTAACACTTTATGTATAATGTTGAAGCACTTTATTCCAAATATATGTTTTTTTTTAAATTAAGTATACTCTCTGAATAGATAGTTGTCACTGGTTGTTCTTGTTCTAACAATTCAAGATCGTATGAAACATATTTGTAATTTTTAGTTTTATATAGTGAGAAATTTGAGTTAAGAGTGCTTTGTTTCCTGGTACCTTTAAGTAGATATTTTTCGGATCAGTAAATGCTTCCTGTGTATGTATGTCCAGTGTTTGTTTTTCTGTCAGGGACATTGTCACATACTTAAATTTCATAAGGACTAAAACAAGAGGTAACATCAGATTTACCCCTGTGAGCTTCAAGTTTGCGTTTTTGGATGTTGCTCCATGTAACAATGCAAAATTAAGTTTGTAGTAGTTTTATATATGGTCATGTTCCCTTAAAAAGTGAATTAGAGATTTCAGGAATGAATTTTAATATGGGCCAGGTAAGTCCATTCAAGTTAATAAATAAATCTCACTTTTAAGTGTTTTAATTATTCACTGGATTCTGCCTATTGTATATTATGTGTTCTTAAAACTTAGAATTATAGAATCTTCCTTTCCTCTGTTCTACCTTTATTTAACAGGCTTACAGAATTTTGATAAAACATTAATTTGCATCAATCAAAATATTGTTTAAATGATTGCCTACTTATATTAGCATATATAGTTTTATTCGTGAAGATTATGTGTTTCACTGAACTATTTTTTGGGGGGTCTAGTCATTGAAAATATCACAGTGGATTCTTTTTAAAGAAATAATAGTATGTTGTAGAGTTGATTTTCTTTTAATATTATTTGAAGTTTGTGAAAACAGCAGCTAAATTTTTATCAGGAATGGACTTTTTAAAATTTGTGACCCATTTGTAGATAAAGCTTTAAGAATTATGCTTATATACTGAAATAAGCATGGAATCAAAGTTTTGAATCCAGAATTAATTTTATCCACAAGATTTCTTCAGAGGATTATTGTTATTTTAGAGTAGGATTTTAAATCAGTTCTAGTGTTTTAAAGTGTACAAAGGAAATCAGAGAATCATTTTAGGTCACAGAAACCAGAAGTACATTAATTGGTAAGTTAGTGTTATGTCCCACATTTTGGGTATAAAGCATTTTCCACCTTTTTCCTTGTGATATTTTGCTGCTCTTACTGATTTCATACCACTTGATAAAAAGTGGTATTTACATGTGATGATTTTCTGTGCTGTTGTGAAACATTTGGGTTGATGAACCTAATAAGGTCAAATTTAAGGAACTTCACATTTAGAGTATTAGAACTGGGAAGGAACCCAAAGGTCCTTGGGTTCAGCCATTGTGATAATCTGCTTTTCATCATCACTTCTAGAACTGTATCACATTGCTGTAGCTGAGCTGCATGTAGTATACTTATCAATAGGATGGAAATTCAAAACTCCTATGAGTATATAACTATTTTCATAGCAATGTGAATTATAGATACTTTTTTCATGTTTTTCATTAACATCACTTACATTTCCAAGCTTTAATAGGAAAGATTAATGATGATTTCAAATTACAGGAGGAATGGGCATTTTTATCTCTTTTTAAAGTGACATGATCCAACCGTAAGTCAGAATGTAGATAGAGATCGAAAAGAATAGAAGAGTCATTAGTTTATTTCTATCATCAATACACTTTATATTAAATGCTTCATTATGGATTTATAATTCATTTTGTTGGCAACCTGAGAGCAATAATATGGGTACTTAAAATTTCTAACGTATACGAATTATTTCCATTTTGCTATTCTTGTCTTTTCTGTTGTTGTTCTGAGCATGTATAATCTTCAGAAGCATATATTTGGAGACCAAAGACTATTAACATGTCTCTTTGATTGACAGTACAATTATTCATTCATTTATTGATAGCTTTGACCTAATGTAGAGGAAATACAATTGAGACATTACTAGTCTAGTTTGGGAATTGATCTGAAAAAGCAAATTATATCACTTTGAAAAAAATCAGTATGTGTTAGTTTTTCTCTTAAAAATATTTTAGTAGTTTTCTATTAAATGGAATTGTGGGAAGGTAATAACTGAACTTGTGTCTGAAGCAGGGGAAAATACTGATTATATAAAGCTTTATATCATATGTGGTAGCTACTGTAGCATTTCTCTTGTATGACAGTAATCTAGCCTGCAACATCTACTTGCGGTTTTGAAATTAACCTGTAATTTAGTCTTCACCCCAAATGACAAAAATTCAAATGCCTCTGTGGGGTGCCAGAAGATGCACTGTAAACAGGGCTCAGTAAAGGAGATAAGGTAGAGTTCCATCAGGATAGTCTCGGTTTTCATTGTGTCAGTATTATTGCAGTAAAATTAACACTTCCTCATGGTATTTTACGGTTTTTGTACAGTTTAAAATCTTAATCTAGATAAAAATAGTAATTCAATCTAGGGCAACATAACATTTGTATAATGGATGAAAATGTTAGGGCTTCAACAGAAAAAAAGGGGCTTTCTTCCTTTTTTAAAACTTTTGTGTGTGAGAGAAATGTGTTTTCTCCACGTAGATTGTCACTGATACTAGTTGTACTTTAGTCCATGTCTCTAACCATGCCTATTTTTTAAAAAATATTTCATACTTCCAAAAGTATTTAATTTTTTATTCTCAATTGCACCACTTTGTTAGGTTAAACAAACAACCGTGCTTTCATTAGAGTATAATGTACAGTTAAATATACTCTACTGAAATTGGGAAGTCCAGGGACCTGATGGCAGTGCCTTCTTCTGTTACTTAGTAGTAATCAGTCAATCTCTAGATGCTTTAATTCCTCATGTATTTAAAAATAAAGGAGGGTGGCAAGTAGAGACACATAACCTCTACAGCTTTTCTAAAGTCTTACAGTCGCTTTCTCATACTGTCACTTTTAAAGAAAAAAGTTTTTGAGAATATATTTCTACACTCTTGCTTCAGAAACTTGTGACTTAATGGAAATATCTTTATTTTAATATCTTTATTTTATTAAATATCTTTTTATTTTAATTTATTACACATAAGAGAAGTCTTGACTTTATGATTGGAAATAAGTTTTAAAAGCTTAACCTCTGAAGAAAACTTTTTAAGAATTTCCCTAGAATTCACTGACTATAGAATATCCTAGTTTTAGCAACAATAAATTTATATATATGTGAATTCTGAAGTTGTTTTCTTATTACCTTGGAGAGGTGGCAGTATGAAAAATATGATGATAAACTTGAAATTGTTTGAAAATTCCTTGAGAGCTATTGATGGACATTTAATAAAAGCCCCCAAATTTGGAATCACTGAAGACCATAAGTACATAAGAAGTGGAAAAACTATTTGATGGTAGAAATAATGCATTCTTAGAGCAACTTATTCTGTAACATCAGATTTTATTTATAATAATCTCAGAGAATGCCTTTATCTATTTGGACTTTTTTTTTTTTTTTATAGTGCCATTTAGCAAGCAAAATAATAAAAGACGAAGCAAGGAAAACAGAACTACTAATGATGTCTGTACTCTAAATATTTATTTATATATAAGGCTTGTTTCTTTTACTTCCCCCCCGCCAATTTTGGCTTCGTGGTTTTCTACCTAAAAGCTCAGTCCATGTACATTTTGACTGGTCATTCTACATATCTCTAAGCTAATTAGATATATTTAATTCATTGTTAATATTTTTATGTTTCTAAGGGATGACTTACCTGCTGCTCTTGAAGCCTCCATTGGTTGCTATGAAAAATATAAAATATTACCAAGAATTCATGATGTCCTGTGTAAACTGATAGAGAAAGGCGAGACCGATCTAATCCAGAAAGGTTAGTCACCTTCTAATATCTCGATGTACTTGGGGCTCTCCCCCTCTCCCCCCACCGCCCCCATTGCTTATTTAATCTTAATGCATTCCTGTGAAGAGAAAATTTAACAGAAAAGCAGGTACATCCAGAGAAACTTTGTTAACACTTCTAAATTGAAGAGAAAAATATCAGGTAGATTTATATCAAGTAGTATTATAAATGTTCTTGATTTTAATAACTATTCATTTTGAAAAGTTGCCCCTCTGTTATTTTTCGTTCTGCTTCTTGATTATTTATCTGCCTTTATGAGGATTTTTTAACCCTATTCTCACCAGTTCTCTTTGAAACTGGTCTTGGGTACTTAATGTCAAATGTACGCTGTTAAGGAATGTGACCAGAAACTGGTTGGCAAAGCTATAATCTTTAAGTTACTCTAAATATTTGTTTCGAAGTTTTTTTGTATTTTTCCAGAACTTCAAGAGATATTGTGTTTCTCTATATTTTTTCTTCTTTCTTCTTTCCTCTCTAGCAATGGACTTTGTGAGCCAAGAACAGGGTGAAATGACAATGCTCTATGATCTCTTCTTTGCCTTTCTACAAACAGGAAATTACAAGGAGGCCAAGAAGATCATTGAGGTACAATTTTAACTACAGTATTCTAATTGTACAGCTATTTAGACTCTTAATTAAGATATGTTTAAAAATTTTAACCTTTAATTAGACTTGTTCTGATTCATGTTAATATAATTCAATCTCAGTAATGGGGCAGGTGGGGGAAAACTCGGCCAGCTTCTTTATTGTATATAATTACAGTTCAGAAAAGGCAGCCTGGTTGTATGTTGAATTTGTTTCCTCACTTTGTTAAATTCACTGTTATATATCAAAATGATATTTGCATAAATCTTGGATTGTGGAACGTGTAAAGTTGCTAATCCTCTTTGCCAAGGAATTCTTTGTTCTTAAAAGCAGTGGAATTTAATTTGCTGCAGACCATGCTCAGATTTATTTGTAATGCTTGTCTACAAGTTAATCAGCCAAACAAGTGCTGTCTGCAACTATTTGGCATTTAATTTAAAATTTCTTCTTTTCCTTTTTTTCTTTTTCTTTTTTTTTTTTTTTAACTATGGTAAGCAGCTTATGGGAAATGGTAGGCAACAAACCTGGCCTATTTAGGATTAATATATTGTATCTAGGCTTGACTGAAATTTTGCTTTACTAAGGTTGGTAAGTCAAAGGGCAACTATAAAGTCTGTTCTAATTGTGATTAGTTTCACTATTAAACAATTTTATGTCCTTTAAGCAAGACATTCCACAGAAGATGGATCCATCATCTTAAGAGAAAATATTTAATGTGATCAAAATAAATTTGTAAATATATCGATAATCATATTTCTCTCAGATCATACTTTGCCATAACTCAGTGTCATTTTCCAAAAGTGCCCAGGGTGGATGGTATACAAAGGTGGTGTTTGGCCTTCTTATTTATATATTGATGACTGCTTGTCATGAAATCGAAAATGTAGGCATACAGGCCAGAATATTATTATTTTCTCCTGATATTTTTCAGAGAAAAGTTTAGCATGGAAATAAATGAAGGACTGTGAAGTTAATTCAGATCTTTCTTCTCTTTTAGTCTGTCTTATAACTCAATTGATCTTCCTGTCAAAGGGAAGTGAGACATGCTTTCCTGGACAAATGTTTCTGTAGCTCAAGTAGTCCATTTGTATTTTCTAGAAAACAGTATCAGTTCTTTCATTGTAAGTGCATGGTATATCTGAAAATGTGAGGGGAGTTGCTGGCCTGTTGAGTTCTGCTGCTCTGTGTGCACGTTATCAGTGTTAGCAGGGCACTGATCAGAACAGAAATGAAGCTCAGAAGTGTTAACTGCTTTAAGATCTTCAGATTATAGCAATGAGAGGTTTTACAATAAGTAGTCATGTGCCTCTGTGTAATAAGGAAGATGCAATAGGAAGAACCAAAAGTATAAGAGTGAGTTCTCCTTTTGCCATCTACTTGCTAGTGTGATAATGATCAAGTTACTAAACCTTTTTATGCTTCCTCATCTATAAAAGGGAATATAGTATCTTTTTTTAAGATTCAATCATATAATGTATTTTTAAAGCAAGTTTTGTGTTTCCTGGATTATGTAGTAATCAATAATATTAATTCTCTTTGCCCCTTAAAGGTTGAGATTTGTTGTCCTCTTTACCCTACATAATTCACATTATGGTGCTTAGCTTAAGATATATGCTTGTCACATGAATAAGCAAGAGAAGACTGTCTCTTAATTTCTCTAAAGCATTGCCAATGTACAGCATCATTGAGTCTAATCACTTAGGAATGGCTGTTTACTGATGACGGAATTTTCAGAGTGGATATGTACAAAATTGCTTTAAAGTTAAAGAGTAGCTTTACAGAATCCCTGGAGTACCCTAGAATAGGACAGCAAGGTGGATAATATATGAGAAAATACTGAAGCACATTTTCAATCACCTTTTTTTAATGGTCGTGGAGTTGAATTAAAGTTGGGAACTTGCTTTTTTTCACTGTTAAAATTCAGTACCTGGAGTTCTCTTAATAGTTTTCTAAGAATTATTGAAAATATAAGAAGTAATGAAAATTAATAAACTAAGACAATATCAGCATATGAAAGAATATTATAAACACTGAGCAACATTTTTATTATTCTGCAAAATGCAGTGGTGTCATGTCAATGGGTAGATTCACTAGAGTTGAATTTCTAGAGCAGAATATACAATGAAATTTCTTTGTATTTGAAGCATTGAGGGAGATAAGATAAACCACTCATTAAAATGCTCACATTAAATGAAGAAAGAGGAGGTAAGATTCAGTGTATAATATGACTACTTGTTTTTAAAATGAGTTGGCATACATATATTATGTATTATATATAATACATTTTAACATAGTCTTTTATTTCTATACATGGATTATTACAAGAGGGTGGAATTATAGCTGGTGTTTTGCTTTATACTTTTCTATATTTCCTGAGTTTTCTATAATGAGCATATATATTCTTATACTCAAAAAAAGTGTTATTTTTTTCCCAAAAGAAAGCAAGTAAAAGATAAAAGTGATTCAGACTAAGATCAAGCCCTAAGAAGCTAATGTGAAGCTCCTTGAACATGAGATTACTACATGAAGATAATTGCTATGTAAGACTGAGAAGTGTTAACTGCTATAAGAAAAGCATAAATAATTCTAAGAGTTCAAGAGTAGAACTTACTCCCATTGTAGGAAATTAGGCAAGACTTTCTGGAGAAATGGGGCATGAGGTAGAGACCGAGAGATGTGGTAGCACTTTAACATTCGAGAGTTTGATGGGAAGTGTATTAGAAGTATTAGTGGCGGAGCAAAGAAGCATGAAGGGGAAATCGCAAAACAGTTCCCCCCCCGCCAGCTTTATTGAGATATAATTGACATATAACATTGTGTAAGTTTACGAGGTATTGATTTGATATATTTATATATTGCAAAATGATTACCACAATAGTTTTAGTTAATACCTCCATCACCTCATAATTACCATTTCTTTTTTGCGGTGAGAACATTTAAGATCTATGCTCTTAGAAACTTGCAAGTAAATAATACAGCATTGGTAACTGTAACCACCATGCTTTACCTTGGATCTCCAGAACCTATTCATCTTATAACTGGAAGTTTGTATCCTTGACCAACAAACATCTCCCCATTTCTCCCACCCCTACCCCTGAGCTCTTGGCAACCACCGTTCTTCTTTCTGTTTTTAGGAGTTCACCTTTTTAAGATTCCACGTATAGATGATACCATACAATATTTGTCTTTTGTCTAACTTGCTTCACTTAGCATAATGCCTTCAGGGTTAATCCAAGTGACAAATGTCAGGATTTCTTTCTCATGGCTGAATAATATTCCATTCTATATAATATATTACCACATCTTTATCCATTCATCCATAGACAGACACTTAGGTTGTTTCCATGTCTTGGTTTTGCGAATAATGCTGCAGTGAATTTGGGAGTACAGATATCACTTTGAGATCCCGATTTCATTTCCTTTGGATATATAGCCAGTAGAATTGCTGGATCACATGGTAGTTCTATTTTTAATCTTTTGAGGAGCCTCCATACTCTTTTCAAACATTGTGGTTGTAACATTTTACATTCCCACCAACAGTGCACAAGGGTTCCCTTTTTTCCACATTCTCGATAACACCTATCTCTTGTCTTTTTGATGATAGCCATTATAACAGATGTGAGGGGATAACTCATTGCGTTTTGATTTGTATTTCTCAGGTGATTAGTGATATTGAGAATCTTTTCATGTACCTGTTGGTCATCTGTATATCTTCTTTGGGAAAATGTATATTCAGTTCCTCTGCTCATTTTTTCATTGGATTTATTTATTTATTTTTGCTATTGAGTTATATGAATTCTTTACATATTTTGGGTATTAACTCCTGTTCAGATATATGACTGGCAGATATTTTCTCCCATTCCATAGATTGCCTTTTCATTTCAGATTGTTTCTTCTGCTGTGCAGAACAAGCTCTTTAGTTTCATGTAGTCCTACTTATTTATTTTTGCTTTCATTGTTTGTATTGTTGATGTCTTATCCAAAAAATAATTGCCAACACCAATATCAAGAAGCTTTTCCTTATGTTTTCTTCAAATAATTTTACCATTTCAGGTCTTATGTTAAAGTCTTTAATCTATTGCAAGTTAGTTTTTGTAAGTGGCATGTGGTTATCCCATTTTCCCAAAGTCATTTATTAAAAGCGATTATCTTTTCTCCACTGAGTATTCTTGGCCCCTTTGTCAAATATTAGTTGGCCTTATATGCAAGGGTTTATTTCTGGCCTCTTGATCGTGTTTCATTGTATATGTGTCTGTTTTCATGCCAGTATCATGCTGTTTTGATCACTGTAGCTTTGTAGTATAGCTTGAAACCAGGAAGTATGATGCCTCCAGCCTTGTTCTTCAGGATTGCCTTGGTTATTTGGGATCTTTTGTGGTGTTTTACATATTTTAAGATTTTTTTTTTTTCTATTTCTGTGAAAAATGCCATTTGGAATTTTGATAGGGATTGTTTTGAATCTATAGATGGCTTTGGGTAGTATGGATGTTTTAACAATATTAATTCTTCCAATCCATGAACATGAGATATTTTACATTTAGTTATGTCTTCGATTTCTTTTATCAGAGTTTTTTAGTTTTCAGTGTACAGGTCTTTTACATCCTTGGTTAAATTTATTCCTAAGTATTGTATTGTTTTTGATACTATTGGGTTTGTTTTATTTCTTTTTCAGATATTTTGTTGTCAGTGCATAGAAATGAAACTGATTTTGGTTTGTTGATTTTGTATCCTGTAACTTGACTGAATTCATTGATTAGTTCTATAGTTATTGGGTGGAATCTTTAGGATTTTCTACATATAAGATCATAAATGCAAACAAAGAAAATTTTACTTTCCAATTTTCTAATAGTTCTTTTATCCTGTAGTATAGGATTTGTGAGAAATATTTTATAAGGGTAAATTGTCCCCAGAGACCTTTCAATATCAGAATAAGCAGGTTGGAGTTCATTCTGAAGACAATGGATTCTAAGCAGTGTTGAAAAGAAATTTATACTAGCAGA